CACTGAGGGTTGCGATCCTGTTGCCGGTCCCGGTCTGGTACGGGCGCAACACTGAGGGTTGCGATCCGTTGCCGGACACGAAAAAAGACAAAAAAGAAAAAAAAAAAGTAAATTTGCAATAGAGATGCCTGACTACCTTCATCAATCGATCATCACCTAACAAGGCATATTGATGTCATGGGTTTCCTGCAAAGAGCACACATCACTTCTTGGCATTTATGCCAAGGATGCATAACCTGAATTTAGTAAAGAAACATCAGAAAAACCTAAATCTAGGGACCTCCTACAAAATAAGTAGTTAGTACTCTTAGAAAATGCCATGGGTTTGAATGAAAGACTGAAGAACTGTCCTAGACTGGAGGGCAGCAATGAGGCATGACAACTAAATGCAATGTGGAATTGTGGAGTTGATCTTGGACCAGAAAAAGGACACTAGATGAAAATTGGAGGCATTTGTATAAAATCTGTAAATTAGTTGGTAGTATTACAACCATGTTAATTTTCTGGTTTTGGTACTTGTACTGTGGTTATATTTGGAGAAGATGAGTGAAAGATATATGGAAATTATTTGTTCTGATGTTGCAATTTTTTTAAATATGAAATTATCTCAGAATGAATATTAAAAATTTTTTAAAAACCTGAATAATTTTTTAACTTCTTTTTGACATTCAGATTAAAACAGATACCTCAGAAAAAACAGCTAATCAATTACGGCCTGTCTCTTCTACTTCCAATGTGATTGCCAAAGATGACATTCTGCAACTTAAAAATGAAATTCAAGTTTTACAACAACAAAATCAGGTGATTAAAAAAAATCCTGTATTTTACGAGGATTTTGATAGTCTCATTAAATACAAAGCATATGATAGATTTTTTGAGAATACAGAGGCGATGAGTTAATTAGTAGACAAGTAGGTAATTATGGGTTCCAATTATTTACCTTTACTAGTGGTTCTTGTGTAGTACTGTCATTGGAAGGTAAATTAGTATAATTCCAGTTTCCTTTCTATATAGTAACGTGGCTAATCGAGGTATTCTTTCCTCCCTAGCCAGGTCTTGACCAAAAACGTAAAACCTTGCTTATTTGGATGGTTGTTGAAGATCATTGAATTCTAATACTTATTTTAAGGCATTAGTTAGCCAATACTTCTCTGGTTAAATGTTTTTATATATTTCAAAATAAATACATAATTTTAACTTTTATTCTTATCAGAAAGCTACTTGTCAAATAAATGAATCTATGCTCTTATCAATGCATGAAGAGACTTTTTATTTTGTAGATTTATGAAAATGATGTGTTAAATAATGTTATAGGGGAGAGATCAAGCACAGAGGATGTTAAAAATGAGATTAATTAATGAGAATAATGTTTATTTCCTATAAATACTTTATTCTTTGGTGTCTAGGAACTTAAAGAAACTGAAGAAAAACTGAGAAATACAAATCAAGACTTATGTAATCAAATGAGACAAATGGTACAGGATTTTGACCATGATAAACAAGAAGCTGTGGATAGGTGAGGTCTATACAGGTGCCTGTCTCCTGGGTGCCCTTCCCTCCAAGTTCCCTCCATCCCCCCAACAAAAAAGATTCAAGAGAAATGATGGTGTGAACTTTCCACGGTGAGATCTTTCATTGGCTGAGATGAGTCCCTGGCTTCTCAAATCAGAATTTGGAACATATTTTCCCTAGAAACAATATTATGTAGTAGGTTAGGTTCTATAGCACCATTGAAACTGAAGTTCACTGAAACATTATAGCTTAGTGTTTGTTTTGTTTTGTTTTATTTTTTAAAGCTAGCCTGGGAACTATTCTGTATAAAGAAAAAATCTGTGGGTGGGAATATGTCTTCCAAATACCAAATCATAAACTTGGAAACAGACTTTTGGAATATAACTTACTTGTGAGTTGGGTACTACTAGTATTTATGTTTAATGTAGATGACTTGGGATTTTGGAACTATACCCTCAATTATTTCAATTAAGTTTTTATAAACAGAAGTCCTCAGCATAGACTAATAGCTCCAATTGAAAGACCAGAGCATTCTCACATCCAAGTTTCTAATTTTTCTGTAGAAACATTTGAAGAAAGAAAATTTCAAAGATTCTCATAAGATCATTTATTGTAAATTAATTAATACCACTTTTGGCCTGGCAAAAGCAATCTGACCTTACTTATAATTTGCATTAGAGGCAAGGGGTGGGAAAGATGGGAGGAAAACCATTTCATTTTGGTGTTTCTAGTAATGCTGGGCATGGCCTTAGATTTGCTCTCTGTTCTAGGTGTGAGAGGACTTATCAGCAACACCATGAAGCCATGAAAACCCAAATACGTGAAAGCCTATTAGCAAAGCATGCTTTGGAGAAGCAGCAGCTCTTTGAGGCTTATGAGGGGACTCACTTGCAACTTAGGTGAGATTAAAAGAATTTAGCTACCCTTTGAGCTGTAAAGACTACATTTTCCTATTCCATAATTTAGAGGAAAATTGTTTATTATGCAGCCATCTTATTTTTTTGTGGTCATTTAGTTGCTGGTTTTGTGTATCTAAGGTCTGACTTAGATAAGATGAATAAGGAGATGGCTGCTGTTCAGGAATGTTACCTAGAAGTGTGCAGAGAGAAGGATAATCTAGAATTGACCCTCAGGAAGACCATTGAAAAGGAGCAACAGGCTCAGGAGAAGAAGGTACAGTACAAGGTTATGTTCTATCTACATCATGTCACTTCTTATATCTCACTGTTGTCATTTAAACTGATACACTTGTTCTGGGGAAGTGAATAGGGAAGGTATTCATACAATCTTTTTACTTTTGGCTGTATCACACTAATATAGCTCACAAAATGCAGTAAATATTGAAATGATTACTAAAGCCTTAGTGGAAAATGGGATATAAGAAAGATCTTAGGAGAAAATGATTTTTACTTATAGATTTATTTTAGAAGGCACAAAAGAGTGGACCAGAGTCACTTTAGTTCTGAAACCCATGGATTCTCATTTTTCAATCATTCATTGACTATTCAGGAGACTCTACAGAGTCCTATGAGCACTGCACAAAGTATTCCTTCAGAGCCCTTTTGCTCTGACCCACCTCTCTCTGTACCTAGTTGTCATTTTATTCTGCTGGGAAGAAGGGCAGGAGTTTAATGGAGATCTCATAGGGAAGGTGCTGATGTGGAAGATATGGAGAGGAAGGGCAGAGTGTTAGGACGACCTCTTTCAGGGAAGCTGGAGGGGCTATCAGAGATTCTCTAACTCTGCCCAATTCTTCCAAGTTGCCCTTGATGAGTGTCCTGGAGTAAAATCACAGGTAAACAGTTGCCCCTCCTCTTTTTTTTCTCATCCTGGCTTGGAGCCTCACCCAGACAAAGGTCTGACTCTTCCTTACACCTTGGACCAGCCAGCACAATTTGAAAGCCACCTGCCTCAAGATTAGAAAATATTTTTAAAGGCCTGAATAAATGTTCTATACAGAGGTTTTTGAATAAGTTATATTAAAGCAAGCTGTTGCTACCACAGATTTAAAAAGAATAGTAAAGAGCATGTGAGGAATTCAGTTCATTTAATATTTTGATTATTTTCGAATAGATTAATATGGTAAAAAAACATGCCTTGTATACATATCATCTAGTGGAAAAAGAACTTCTAAAGGGAGCTGTTTTAGTTAGTGCTGGCAGCATGAAAGTTAGAAAGGATCTTAAATTACTTAGAAATTGAAGACTTAGCTTTCAGTAATGTTTTAAAAATTAAAATAGGGAGAAGATCTCCAGTGTGATTCTTTTTTTAAAATATAAATTGGCAAGAACATAAGAGTAATTCTCTCAGAGGTTGTTCTTTTCAGTAATATTTTTTTGGTACTTTTAGAAGAATCAATTTGACTGTAAAATTGGATCTTATATAATAGGTCCGTTGCAATTAATAGCTGCTACTGACTGATAATTTGGCTCATGAGTGTTTGTGCATAAGTGCCAGAAGGAAAGTTAAAGCTACAATTTGGCCCTTCCAAAAAAACCCCACAAAACTTAGAAGTTAAAATTTTTTTTCTTTAAAAATTTAAAATTGTCATGCAGTAAAACTGACTTTTTTCCCTCTTTGGGTGTAGTTCTATAAAATTTTAACACATGTATAGATTCATTAAGATTTGGAACAGTTTTATCACCCTAAAAATCTCCCTTGTGCTATCCCTTTGTAGTTACACCCCCACCCCCATTTAAAAGGACAGTATACTGAAAGCATTAGAAGTTTAATTTCTTCACTGGGAATTCTTTAGTATTTTTTATCATAGGTTTATAAAAGCCCTTGGCAGTCTTTATAGGCCAGTCAGAACTGAAATACCTTTATATTTAGGAGACTTTATCTAATCTTTTCATATCCTCCAGAGGTAGGCAAAACGATACACCAATTTGTTTTCCTAGGAAATGTTTCACACGCATGCAATGGAAGAATCTCGCTAAACTCTAGAGCAAATTAGAGAACTTATGGGGGAGCTCTTCTCTGCAGGGCCTAAGCCATTTCCCTGCAGTTAAGCTTTAAGTAGGGAACTTAGTCTGGACACAGAATTTATGAGATAGGTAGCACCAAGAGTCCAAGGGTATATTTTCTTATTTCCCAATGGGGCTGTTTTCTGGAACACTTGTTGAGTCACTTGTTGAGTGTGTAAAGGAGGAGCTCAATTTCAAGTTTTAAAGCTTTTATTGGGACATAGAACTTTCCTCACACGTTAAACTGGCGCATTCAGAGGAAAGGAAAAAAAGTCATATACAAAGAACCTTCAGATTGGGTAGTAATCAGCAGAGGCCATGAATTTGCAGACAAGGCAAAGATGATCAACATTCCCATTCATAATGCCATTCCTATTTACTTTGTGGCTTATTTACACAATTGTAATACAAACTAAGTAAATCCTTAGAAATTAGAGGGATTTGTTTTGTTTTGTTTTTGCTATTCAATCCATGCACAACAAGTTTAAATGTTTTGAGCTTGGTATGCAGAGATAATTACTAGAATTTTGTTTAAAGAGACAGCTATTGGAGGAAAGAGAAGAATATGTAAGCAAACTGCAGATAGAACTCAAAGAAAAGTACCAAGATACTCTGATGATGGAAAAGAACAAGTGGCTGAAAGAACAAGAAACTGATATTAAACAGCAGGTTGAAAATGAAGTGATGTTAGCCAAAGCACACTGGGACGAAGAACAGAAAGTGGTATGGATTAAAATTTCTTTCTAGTCACCATGTTTAAAAAATATAGTACATGTTAACTACAGAAGACAGTTCTTCCCAAACAAACACGTAATTTTTAGTTGCCGGGTACATACATAATCCCATTTTACCTTTTAGAATGGGCTATTAGCAGCTTACCGAACTAGCTTAATTTTTTAAAAATTACCCCCTCATAACTCCTTAACCTGATTCAGGATATAACAAGTTTATTAAATACTTCTTTGACTCCCCCAAATGAAATCTACTCTGGTAGCTCTAGATTAATATCTATAATTAAGAAATAAATAATCCATACTATAGATTAGAAGAAGACATAATAAACAGGCTCAGAAGCACAAAACTTATTACCTCTTTTGTCTACGTAGCAAATGGAATTAGGAAGTGCTAATAGTTTCCTAGAAAGTAAAGGACCAAATTATGATCTTAAAAACTCATTTGGAAATGAAAAAAATTCTCAAGCTTATTTAAGCTAGATTCTCCTATCCACAAAATTGCTAGTAATCTGGAAGTCAGGGAAGCAGTTTGAGAATTCTGTGTATTTAGGAGGTGGAGAACAGGAAAAGAGAAAAGCAAATTTTGCTATTTCACAATTTTGCTGATGACTGACTGTGTTTAGATCCGTCTTACTACTCTGTTAAAAGTGGAAAAACATCATTAAGATATTCTTCCAATAATACCTCCACTTTGAAGGCAGTCTACTCAGTAAAATTTAACATCATAACAAATAAGATTCTAATGTGTTCAAGTAAGTAAAACTGTTTTTTAGATTGTTCAATTTTAGTTTCATTAATTAGATTTACTCAGTGCCTGCTTAGTGGAAAGTGTGGTGTTGATGCCAAAACACATATTAAGGGCCGGCCCGGTGGCGCACTGGATAGTGCGCCGCTTGGGAAGCGCGGCGGCGCTCCCGTCCGAGGGTTCGGATCCCACGTATAGACCGGTTCCCGCTCACTGGCTGAGTGAGGCGCGGGAGCAACGCCGAGGCTTGCGATCCCGTTGCCGGTCCCCGGTCCGGTACGGGGGCAACACTGAGGGTTGCGATCCGTTGCCGGACACGGAAAAAAGACAAAAGACAAAAAAAAAAAAAAAACAAAACACATATTAATAGCAAAAGTTTTTTTATTCTTTTTTTAATCATGCCCTCTTTGTGGTGGCAATATCAAAGCTTCCAGAAGGTTGCATATTGAGAACAAGATTGACCTCACATACCATACTTAAGTTTTCCTTGTGACTTTTGTCACATAGTTAAGGTCAAAGAGTAACTTTCTAGTTTTGAGAGTATATTTTCACTTACTAAATTTCTAAACCTCGCATAATTACTACAACAATGTCTAGATGGTTTTCAAACACAACTGTGGTTGCTTTTTTGGCTAGCTATTAATTCTAGTTTTTACTTAACTCAAATATTTTTCTGCTCATATGATTTTTCTTCTGAAAACAGATCAAACAAAAACTCATTCAACAGCTTGAAATGGAGTGGCAGTCTAAGCTGGATCAAAGTGTAAATGCAGTGAAAAAGATGATCTCAGACTGTGGCAGCCAGACTGACCAAGCAACCACCACTGATATCATTTCCAAGAAAGAGATGGCAGTTGTGATAGAAGAGCATACGCAGAAGATCCAGCAAGAGTTAGAACAAGAGAAAGAGATCGCTGTCAAGAGGGCTTTGAAGAAACTCGAAATTGAATTGGAACTCAAGTATTGTGAAAACATTGCCAAACAGGTATTAGAAGTTATTGGAGGCAGGGTTATTAGAGTAAAATACTGGAACTGCCTGTCTACTAATGAAAACCTGTAAAATGCTACCGTTAAAATTTTGTGCATGGCCAGAGAAGAAAACCTGTTATATTGTTCCTAAAACTTTCTTTATTATATTTCTGTCACAAAACTGTCACCCCCTCAGTTTTTCTTTATTTTTTTCACTTTACAAAATGTTTGCTCCTCTAAGATCAGTCTACGCATTAAGATACCTGAAGTTAAAGATACTGGTTTTACAGCTTAACAAAGCACAATTTGATTATGAATCTTTCATATCCACTTTTATAGAAAGTCTTCCATTACAGTGGTTATATAGATACATATACATAAGCAAATAAGGTATTTAACAATATTTGTGTTGAGACTTGATACAGAGTTGAATTTGTAGCCATGCCCCTTAAGTGGAACCTTGTCTATAATTCCCACCAGCTGCCCCAAAGAGGTTCCATCATCTTTCCTTTGAAGCACTCACAAAACTAGTTTTTAACTTGGGCAACTTACTTGATTTCAAACAAATGTCATACTGAGAAAAGTATACTCTGTGTTAACATAATAAAGATGACTTATCTGTTGTATTTATGCTATCTATTACAGCGATTCTCAAAATTTTTGGTCTCAGGACTCCTTCACACTTGAAAAAATTGAGGACTCTAAAGAGCTTTTGTTTGTGTGGGTTATATCTATTTACTATATTGGAAGATAAATCTGAGAAGTTAAAAAAAAAAAAATACCCAAGCACACATTCCATTGGCTGTCAGAGCAACAATGACATCATCACAGAGCATGTAGCCTCTGGGAACTGTGCTGTTGATGCATTATGGATGGGAGCGAAAAAGGCAGGGAGTGTCTTAATATTATTTTGAAAATATTTTTGACCTCATGGATCACCTGACAGGATTTCTAGCCCTCAAGTGGTCCCTAGACCTTGATATATCTATTATGTATTTATTATTTTAGATCTGTTACTTATTATAACCTCTTAAACAAGATAATACCTGAAGTAAGATTTTTAAAAATATACTCAGCTTTTGATAAATACTTGAAATTCTCTTATTTGTTACATTGTTCTGCATGATTTTACAGGTCATCCTTAAAGTCTGGAAACAGACAAATTATGTAATGGTATCAAGGACATCTCCAATCAGTTAAAGAAATCATTTTCTGAAATGTTTACTAAAAGGCTTGAACAGAGTTTGGAAATTGTTCCATAGACAAAGTGTTTATGGGTGCTTCTCGGGCATTTATGCAATTATAGATCTTGTGAAGAAAAACAAATAGCATAATATAGTAGAAAGGAAATGTTTCATAATAACTTTTTAGGGAATATATGTTTCTCTAAGAGCTTTATCTTTTCCCCATATTTTTAATTCCCTGGAATTTACATGTGAATGTATTTAGCACTTTAGTGAGAAGTACTGCCTCATATATCAACTCTGCTTTTGTATCTATGTATGTATATATATGCATGTGTGTATCTGGGTGCATTTTAAACAGGCATAGGGGGAAATTATTTAATAAATGATCTGATTATTGGTGACTGATTTACAACCAGATTACCCTCATAATTCATCAAGTCTTAACTTTCTGCCTGAATTGAGATATCACCCTCATTCTTTAGTACAACTCATTCTTCACAGTAGGAAGATTTGGTAGGTATAAGGCTCTAGCCTACCCTGGTGCATCTGTGCACGTGTGTATGTATGTATGTGTGTGTATGTGTTGGGCATGAGAAGTGAGGAGGGGGTGGGTGTATTGATTGGACAGCAGATGGCACCAAGCAGTTCTCCAGTGGGTCTTCTCCTTTTACATGAATTTAATAGGAGTTGTTGGAAACGGCAATCAGTATTTTGTATAAAAGTTTTCTAAGATAATATTGGTCATCAAACATTAATACGAGGGTACTTCAAAAAGTTTTTGGAAGGATTCATATTGTCTTTTAAAATTGTATTTTTCCATGAATTCCTTAAAGTACTCTCATAGATTCCTACTTCCTATTGTGGCATTTGCATGGGACAGTATGGGAAATTTAGAACAGAAGGATTAAAATCTACTGTTTGGGATAGAGTTGGGTACCTAAAGTCAGTGTAACTGTGATGTAGTGAAATGTAGTGAAACAGTGTAAAATACACATGAAACCATAGTTGCTATTTGAAAATGGGGCCATTTAAAGATTTTATACCCACTTTCCTCTTTCTCTTGCTATGGCCTGCAGGTCGAAACAGCTGTGCAGAATGCTCGTCATCGATGGCTGGAAGAACTGCCTGGGCTTGCAGAGTACAGAGCACGTGTGAGAGCAGAGCAGAAGAAGTGGGAGCAACAGCAAGAGAGCTCTGTGGCCAAGCAGGTAAGCGGTCTCCCGGAAAGGAACTTTAGGAGGTGGTCTTGCCACGTCTCTCCTCTCATCTCAGTCCCAGGAATTTGTACCTACAAATAGTGTTGTTGAAGGATTAAGTATGAGAATGTGTGTTAAGCATTCATTCAGAGCCTCAGAAGTGGTATCTGCTCTCTTCTTCATCAAGTAGTTCAGGGAGAGAGAATGTATTTTAGCTTCTTAAAATTCTCATAGCCAGGAGGATAACCTTAACTTAGAAATTAAATCCCATTGCATCTTGCCCTGTCTTTGGGCGAGATTGAGAACAGATATTTTTCTGTTTGTTATTAGCTATACGTTAGCCTTTCACATGCTTAAAGATTGTTTTCTGTGCTGTGTCAGTAGTCTTATCACATTCTCTTTGATAAACAGCCAACTCTCCTTTCTAGAGATGTTATATTCCTTGACTGGAAAACTTGGATATTATATCCATGTGTACTCTCCCAGCTTAATTTACTGGCATAAACCATGCTAATCAAAATGCCAACAAACAGAACATAGTTTTGAAATTTGACACAATAATTCTAAAATTTATTTGGAAAATAAAAGGACTAGACATTTTTTTAATTTCTGGAAAAGAAGTCATAGTCCAGCCTTTAACCCATAATAGAATGTATTGGAAAGCAACAACTAAACACTATGAGTCACAAAAACAGAATTATTTTTAATTTAGTGCAATATAGGCTTCAGAGATAGGCCAACTATGAATAAAAGCTTACTAAATAGTTTCAAAACAAGGGAATGAGGAGTTATTTCATAATAAATAGTCTCATGAGAGACAGATAACACTTTGGAAAAATTAAGTTTACCCACCCCGTGCATCACAATAAACTCTAGGATGATGAAGGAGTTAAATATTTTTACATGGAAGTAGGGAAAAATGAAAAGAAAATGGAATATTTTATATTTGTATCATACTAAGTCATTTTTGTGGTAATGGATGCAATATCAAAGATAAAGTAATACGTTAAAATGACAAACACTTAAAACATTTTTGTTTTTGTAATAAGTAATAAAATAAAATTAAGTGGATAATAAAAATAAGGAAAGTAAATTAATCAAATGTGAGAAATATTAATACTAATATTTGATTAAGGAGCTCATACAGAGCAGATAATCTTCATAAGTCCAAGTAGCAAAAAATCACTGGAAGAACATTCATAACCTACTAGTATTAGGGAAATGCAAACTAAAACAAACTTAAGGTGCCATTTTACAACACACGTATCAATCCTCTCTTCTGAATTGACATAACACGCAATAGAGCAGATTGTAGCTTCAAGTCTGTGCTGCCCTCCTAATGTCACAACCATTTTGGAAAATAAAGTGTTGTATAATAGAAGTTGTAAATGGTTCATACCTTTTATTGATCAACTTATTTTGAAAATTAAGGAAATAAATAATTCAACAAATAAAAATCTACTTTAATATTTTTCTTAAGTTATGTGATAGTACCTAGTACATAGGTGTTCATTACATTATTCTCTATACTTTTTAGTATGTCTGAAGTATTTCAAAAGGAAATTTGAGGGAGAGAGAAGAAGAAACAATACGATGGTGAAGATATGTGTCTCAGAGCTCAGACACCAAGTAAAATAATAAAGTTGGGTAGAATATAGAAAATAAAATATGCCAAGAGATCATTCCTTAAGAACATAGAAGGCCTGGGCCGGCCCGGTGGCGCACTGCTACCGTGCGCCGCTTGGGAGGCGCGGCAGCGCTCCCGCCGAGGGTTCAGATCCCACATACAGACCGGCCGCTCACTGGCTGAGCGAGGTGCGGGAGCAACAC